CTGAGACACAACAATAAGGAACCCACAAGTTGGGCACCAGATGTAGGGCTGTAGGGCCTCACAGGATCGTGGGGTGTTCCTTATGCTATGCTGAGGTGCAGGATCCGAGAAGTAAAGAGACAGGACACTGAAGAACTGGTGAAGAGCATCTGGACTTGGGGGGCCATGCCACCTGTGAGTGGAGATTAACAAGCACCCCAAATGCCCAGAAGCATCTGTATTTATTAGGTACAAGCAGGGGGCAGGGTCGTGAGGTCATCATCTATAGGCTTAGTGATGGGGCATACATAATCACATAAGTCACAAGAGAGGGGGCCACCCCATTATGTCACCTGGGCAGAGAGGTGGGCCGTGGGCAGTAGGGGTCTGTGCCGTGCACAGTAGTAGAGGCTCGTGCACAGAAAAGGTGTCCACCCCCATTAGGTCACTGAGGTGAGGAGGTGGGCTGTGTGCAACAGGTGTCATGCGCAACACTTCTTATCTGGGGGCTGGAGATTTCAAAGGATTTCTAATAGAAGGATACTATAAGCCAATGCAGTGGGAGCTGACAGACTTGTGCTATTCTCTTAAGATATTTATGGGAGGATGATTTGAGCTAGCACAGAAGCGAGAAAAGACTGACAGGGTGTACAGCCGCCGTGACTGGTCACACCAGAGGGGTTCTTCACCCTTGATTATTTCCAGGATCTCAGGCCTGAGGCCTACTTTCCCCAGGAACTGGATGCAAGGTACTACAACTCCTTTATCAGGAGGAGAGGCTCTAGCTCCAAGCCTGCCATATAGCATTTGCCCTTTCAGACAGGGACACCACCACCTGGGTCTTTGGTTCTTGTCCTGGTCTAGCTGTTTTCCCATGTACTGCTTCTGTTCTGACTGCTCTAGGCATTCCTCCTACTGCAAACTACTATATGGTTATACGGAAGGATTATATAAATCAGCACTAAATGTGTCAGTACAGCTCCGACTACAATACCTATATGATTATATAGAAAGATGATATGGGACTAAGTATGATTATATATATAAGCTAGATATAGTAAGCAGTGAGTTATGCTTCAGGCATTAACTGTGCCTGGGGTCTGCACAGTTCTCCTTCCTCAGTGCCCCTGGAGGGTGTTACCCACAATCTCTCATCTACTGTAGATGGGGGTAAGGTACATGAAAGAATAACACCTGGAAAACAATCTTCTACTAAAGTCAATGAATTACTTGACTTGGAATAATTGTCATATTTAACTCCAAAAAAAGGTTGACCTTGTGGGAGTATGAAACAGAATTTACAATCAGGCTTATTATTCCCGTGGCCAAATAAAAAGGTAGAATGAAATAAAAAGGTGATAGCTGGGGGCAGTGGGAGTGGACTTAAGCCAGTTTGGGGGTAGGATATGTATGATCTTTCCTACCAACTGCTTATTATTTCAAACTTTATCAGTTTATGTTGCCTCAAACTTGAACTCTTCAAATATGAGATACTGCTTTTAAGGAATTACAAGACTTCCTTTCTGTTTAAGCCTCTCTAATTGTTCTCCTGTGCAAAATTTAGATATTTTCCCTTGTTGATTCATTAAATATTCACCCTGCCATGTGTGGAGCACATCACAGTACAGCAATGGAGATTCAGAGCTGAGTAAAACTCAAGCTCCTATCCTCAAGGCACTCACAGCCAAGTGGTGAAAATAAACCTCCCTCTTACCTTTGTTAAAGTTCAAACCCAAGGAAAAGCAACTACAAAGCCTGGAGGAGAGCAGTAAGGTGTGAGAGGAGCGTTCTGGGACCCCTGGACCCTGGCCGTCATCCCCTGCAAAGGCAGGGGGTGCAGGGCAGGGAGCTCAGCCTTCTCAGAGAAAGGGAAGGAGCAGCACACGAAAGGAAAGCACCTGGAGCAGAGGGATGTGCTCAGGCCAGAAGTAGGGAGCCGTAGAAACTGCAGAGCTCAGTTGAGATTTGACCTAGGTCTGAAGACTCCAGGCAGGGACAGCAGCTGTTTTGGAAAGTGTTACCTGGGCAGCTGCTAGCTAGAGGGATTCAGGGCCAAGGCCAGAGGAGCAGTTATGGGGCAATCTGGGCAAGGAAACATGACAGCTGCAAGCACAATGAAACTGCCAGGGAAGCCCCTCAACAGAGGCAGACTGTTGAGTAATGGGGCGGTGACAGTTTTGTGTACCATCTCCCTTACCTTACCTCCCTCACATTTCTCCCCCAAATAAACACACAACCCTCACACAACAAAGGGGCTCAGGGCCACAGTGAAAAAGGCTTTCATGCTTGTGGACCAAATGCAAGGAAGAGCAGTGGCCCATACCCCAAAGGGATTTTTCTCCCTCTACTGGATCAATCCCATGGGCCTGTGAAACATTTTCTGGCCCTGTACCTTCGTCTGGAAAACACTCTCATCCCTGTCCCTCTTCCCCTGAAAAACCCCTTTAATCTCTACTTATTGCTCCATATCCCTTCACAGCAGGGCTGACTGTAGGAGGTCCTCACGTCCCCACTTGTGTCCATACTTCAACTTGCTCCAGTCTCCATGCTCCTGCCAGTTATTTCCATATTGCCAAGTCTGATGGAGGCATCTCCATTTTGAAACATGTCCTTCCTTGGGCTCCTGCAACACCTTATTTTCACTTTTTTGTTGATGCTTTTATCAATTACAGTGGCTTCTCCTCAGTCTTTATTTTGTTATCTCTTCTTTCACTAGATGGAACTGAAGGTTAGCGTGCTCAGGACTCAGTCCTAGGATCTCCTCTCCATCTATACATTTTCCCCCTAGCAACTCCATCCAGTACCATGGCTTTATAGTCTATATGCTATACTGCTACATTCATATGTTCAGTGAGACCTTCCCTGAGCTGCAGACTCTCATCTGTCAATCAAAAATCTCCATATAGATGATCAATTGGCAGCTCAAACACAGTCTACACCAAAGTAATGATTTCTCTGGCCAATGCAAAATTCAGTTTCTCCTAGATTTTTCCCCATCTCAGTATATAGCTTTGCCATAAAACCAGATGCTTAAGCCCCAAACCAATTAGTCATTCCTGACCTCCCCATTTCCTTCTTCACCCCACTGTAAACATCCAATGGATCCAGGCCCTGGTGTATCTTCAAAATGTATTCCAATCTGCCCCTCCTCTCTGTATCTTTCCACTACTCAAAGTGGTCCAAACCACTATCTTTTCTTTCCTGGACTATGCAACAGCTTCTTAAAGGGTCTTGTTACTTCTTCGATTTCTCACAATCCAATCTTCACAGAGGAGCTGGCATAAGCTTTTCAAAATGACCAATCAGATCATATCACTATTTGAAAAATCCTCAAATGAATTACCATTGTATTCAGCATAAAATATAAATGTGTACCACAGCTTACTAAGACCTGCTTCTTTGTACCACTCCCTTCCCTAACTACATTCTAGCCACGTGAGCTACCTTTCTCTTTTTCTAACAGCAGCGGTTAGAGAATGAATGGGAAGGGCTAAGACTGGAGGACAGCTTGCTTCTGCTTTAAGGCTTCTGCAATTACGTGCCTTTTGTCTCTGTGTTCTCATGGCTGGCTGCTTCTTAGCATTCAGATCACAATTCAAATGCCACCTGCTTAGAGAAGCTTGGCTATTATGACATCTAAAATAAGTTAAACTCTCTAGTATCACTCTGTTATTTCTATCATAGTATTTATCAAAATCTTATTTATGTTCATTATCTGCTTTTCCTAACTAGAATGCAAGATCTAGAAAGGAAAGAACCTCATCTATCTTGTTCCCTACATTAACCTAAGAGCCAGGATACAGTAAACATTCACTAGATATATACTGAATGAACAACTCAGTCCTCCTTCTAGCAATAAATTTAAAAAGTTCTTACAGCAGGAAGACTACAAGAAAGAACAGAATAGAATGGACCTCTAGGTCACCAAAGCCAGCTAATATCACAAGTGTTTTGTCAATTTGCTTCTTTTCCATAAAAATTATATTTTCTGTACAATTAGTAAAATGTAAAACTTCAGTAATGTTCACAATCTACAACAAAACTACTAGAAGATGATTAGTCAGAGAAATCTTATAACTGCTCTTTCCTTCCCATGTCAAAGACTCTAAGTAGCTCAGCAAGAAAAATCTACTGCAATAAAAAGACATACATAAAAGTGCTCACAAACACAAAAAGCGAAGGTTACAGGCACCATACCATCCACCAAACTGAGGGCATTTCTTACTATCTGCTAATTGGGGATGGAAGTCAGGTGTCAGTACTTTTTTTTTAAAAAAATAGATCTTGTACATGTTAATAAACTGTGATTTCTAAACAATGCATCCACTCGAACACAAAAAAAGAATGCCCTGAATATTAGGATGCTTGAGCTGAACCACTCCATGTACAAAATATACAGTAACTGCTGCAAGTGCTGACTGAATGCCATCTAAGAATGCAGGTTATGAATGAAAATACAGTTTAAAAATGGGTCAAAGGAGCTTTTTAAAAAAACAGTCCTCCAGGGACTGGCTTCATATTTCACAAAACCAAAGAACTATTAATAAATGGTACACAGAAAATCATGCCCTTGGCTTACTTGTGGAAAACCATGTACCATGTGAGCTATTTTTCCAGATGTGCTGTTGATTCATAAAGCTTTTTTAAAAACAGCAAAAGCCTCTAACTGCTGCACATTCCCCCTTATGTACCTGTGAAGATGGGAGCAGTGGCAGGCACCTGCAGGCCTGTTTAGGAGGCCCATTCAACTGTTTTAGGCCAACTAAAACTGAGCATAAATACATGCATACCCCTTACTTGTTGTTTCTGGAGAAATGTTTCAGGGTTGATACTTCCTTATAACATTAATTCCAACTTTTTATGAGAACCTGGATTCTGAGCCAGCTGTAACTGTGTTAGGGCTTTGGAACTTAACTGAAACATCATGAAATAAAACACAAATGTCTAGTTGTTGCATGTTCAAAGACTTACCAGACACAATAACCAATCACTCATTATGAATAATAATTTCAACACCAGCATAATATAAAACAAATCCTTTAATTTTTCAAGTGTTTAAAAAAAAAAACAATTTTATACTTAAGCCAGCCTTGAAGATTAGCACAAAATTTACCAGTTTACATTTTTTTTTTAAATGTCAACTCAAGCACCCTCTCTGTGCATAGCACTATTCTAGGTGCAATAAAAAGGAATCTTAACCTTAGAAATATGAGTTCACTTTCTGGAATTGTATTATCTCCTTTCCCAGAGAGTAAAAATAAATAAAATCACAATTGCTTACTACAGATCTGCCCCAAACCACTTCTGGTTCACAGAAAGGCTAATTTCTGCCAAATGTAAAATGTAATGAACTCACTTCCTGCTTTCCCAAAAATAAGAAAGTAGAATTCCTTTTCACCAAGAAAACAAAAAAAAAAACAAAACAAACAAACAAAAAAAAACCAGTTTTCCATGTAAGGGCAGTTTGCTTTCTAATAAGTATTTAACAAAATTTTTTTCCTCTAGCTTTTCTTTAAATTTTCTTCCTCTAACATTGCCCTTTTCTTGTACAAGGTAAACCAGTATCTTTTTATGCTGTTTTTCCTTTCCTAAGTATTGCATCTTGAAGACAAACCATTTCCAAGAGTAGTGATAAAAAATAACATTAAAAAAACTTTAAAGGTGAGTCACTTACATCACCTTAATGAAGTAAAAAAATAAAAAGCAGTTGGCACTAATATAGCTAATTCCAAATATCTGTGTCTAAACAATTTTAAAAACCATAATTATTTATTTTGTAAGAATGTACCCCTAATCCAAAGTAACTTACGTTTTAAAAAATTTTGGCCAAAAAATTTACAAAAACCTTTCAGTTCAACCTAATAAAAGTGATATCTAGAAAATATGCCACATTATTAAGTCTGTCTTAAAAAGTTCAGATTCTAAAGCATTCCTAAGGCACGGTGATCCGGAAGACAAATGACAAATGTGCTTCTGCTGGCATTGTATTCGATACGAAGCATCTGTGACAAGCTTCAAGTGAGCCCCGACAGGCACCTTCCTCCTGATGCTATGGGACTGTGAGAGAAGAGTCAGACGTAGGCTCCCAGGGCCGCATGAAACTCTGTGAGACACTGTACCAGCTGCTGAAACTTGGGCCTCTCCTCTGGATCTAAGGCCCAGCAACAGGCCATCACAGCAAACCTGCAGAGTGATGAAGATGAAAATCTGGGCTAGTAATGACACAATATTCCTAAACTTTTGGTCAGTTTGATGCCAGTTATGTTGTCTGTCTACGGGTGGGTATGGAGAGGATGATATATTAAAAACGGATCCATTTTACTATTTGTTAGCAGCTCTAGAAAGAAGCTAAAATAAGTTATTTGGATTACATGTGTGAATTTCAATTCTTCATGACAGCGTATCAAAATATTTCAGCAAATATACAGAGATTTCATGTAAATACCTAAAACACAGTCAAAAGAACACCTGTGTTTTCCTGTAGTTAAATTAAGAAAAAGATCTTGGAGGAAGAGAACGTTTTATCTAAGGTCTATAAACCCTGGATCTAGAGTAAAATCAGTACAAAAGCTGCCACCTTATCATGATGCAGAAACCTTCAGGGGGTTCTAGAACTGAGAAGATACTCATCTGTATGTCTAAACACCCTCAATAGCCTCCTGCTTATCCCATTCTCATTACATGACAAGATAAGCTATGTGATAGAAGCAGGAAACAGAAAGCAACTACTTTGCTCACTAGTCCAGATCATCTTCCCTGTATCAGCTGATACCAACTGGGAAGGCAAAATGACAGTAAGAAAGGTGTTTTATAACTACTGTGTCCTTTATAACTACTTTATAACTACAAAAGTCAAGTACTCACTCTATATAGAAAAACTGACATAATATTCAGCCAATTTTCCTAGTACATCCATTTTCTTAGTCTGTCCTCTCAGACTAATTTATAGTGCTTAGATTATGCACTATAAAATAAAATGCAAGAAGTTCTAATGTCAAATGCATAAATTAGTGACTGAATCACCCTGACTTTATGGTTCTTTACAAGAGTCTAATTTAAATCCAAACAGTCATTATTTTCAAAGGGAAAGCTCTGTTTGAATATGGAAACCTGCTCATTTTCCTTTATTCCAATATAGTAAATGGAATAAAGTTCATGCCTTCAAGCTCAGAAAAACTCACAATTCATCAGGACAGTTGATTGGCTGGGCTATTCGGTAACCATCTTTCAGGTATGCGGCCATCTCGAAGGGGTCAATGTCCACGTAGGGCGTCTGGCCCAGAGTCATGAGTTCCCACAGCGTCACTCCAAAGGCCCACTAGGAAAGGAGCAGGAGCACAATGAGGGGACATTTAAAACAATGGTGAGGGGGCTAGTGCCCACAGCTAGCTACAGGACAAAAAATAGCAGCTCAACTCAGGCTTCAGAAAAGCAAAATGTTATTTACAAAAAGAAGTCTATCATACGGTTATTTTCTCTTGCCAAGATTAAAAAAAAGTTCATCCAATATTAGTATTATAAATTCTGCAATTAGATCCATTCGAAGTAATAGTTTAGTGTTGATTACAAGCTATGTATTATAAATTATGTCTAAGATTCTTCTAATATGAGAATTTGTACCTTTAAATATTATAGCTAGTCTGCATAACTGAGAAGTGGAAAATGAAAAGAATTCTAGTCTAATTAAAGGGAAAAGCATCCTAAGTGAAATATGCAAATGAGGGGAAACATAAAAAGTCATGGATTTTTACTGTATTTAAAGTTTTAAATTAACAGATTAAAATAACTTCCAAACTTGCCTGAGTTAGCAATCAGACTTATTTAAAATCAGTATGTAAACTACAGAAAGGAACAGGAATGGTCAACAGTGGCAACGGTGTCCACTCATAGTCTGAGCGGGGCTCCCCATTTTGGCCAATTCCTGGCTGTACTCAGCTCCTGGAGAGTGTGCAGGAGGTGGGAAGCAGGCAACATGTCTACACAAAGCTGCTGCCACGTGGCTGAAAAGGACTCAGATCTGGTATGTCCACTGATCTGTTACCATGTATGAACCCTGAGGTCAGAATAACTGAACTTGAATAGGGAAGGGGAAACCTGTAGACTACAGTATCAGGTTTGTGAGTACCTACAAGTCTGAGGCATTTTGTATCCTTCAGTACATTTAATTTCCTCAATAAACCTGTGAGAATCATTGGTAGTTCAGTTTTACTTGTGCTACCATGATGGGGAAACTGAGGATCAGAGGAATAGCTTGCCAAAAAATGCATATTTTAATGAGTAAAAGAAAAAAAAAAGAAAAATACCAAACACAAGTCAAATACAAGTCTATTTGTAAAATCTAAGTATACTGCATTAAATTTTAGGTTACTATTTTTCAGTAACAAAATCCTAAAATACTTACTTTGTAGACAAATTTTTTAAAAAGCCCTATAATAGTGAACAATGGCTACATTTCCCCCAGAATCTATGCAAACAAGAAAACAATGAAATGACATATTTTAAGAACTGTCATAGTAAGTTCTATATTGAGCCAAAATATACTTCAACAATGAAGACAAAATACGGAGTTTTCCAGAAAAATAAAAGCAGGGAGACTATGTCTCCAGCAGACCTGTAAGGTGTATAAAAGCAGTTCTTCATGTGGAAAAAAAAAAATACACCACATGGAAATCTGGGTTGACACAAAGAATAAAGAGAACTGAAAACATATTAGTAACAACTGAACCTATTCTCTTGTGTTAAAATTTCCTTGATAGACTATTTAAAGCAAAAACAGCTAACAAGATATTGTGGGGTTTATAATATACAGAGAATTGAAAGATATACCCACAAACAGTATGAAGACTGGAAGGGGGATGAGTGGAAACACTGTATTGTAAGGTGCCTACATTAAACACCAAATGATATAATATTTTCGGAAAATAGAAGGTTTACACTGTAAAGCCTAGAGTAGCTTTTTTAACCTCAGCATTACTGATATTGTGGGCTAGAGGATTCTTTGTGGTGAGAAGCTGTCCTGTGCGTTGCAGGGTGTTTAGCAGCCTTCCTGGAGTAGCACATCCCCCAAGCTTTGACAACCCAAAATGCCTCTAGACATAGCCAAATTCCCTTGGCACTGACAAATACCCTTAACTGGAGCAAAACTGCCCCAGTTAAGAACCACTGTATTAGACCAAACAACAACAAAAAATTTAAAATATCATAAACGAAGGAGAGATCATCCTTTAGACATCAAAAAATATTACAAACAATTCAGTTTTATGCCAACAAATTCAGCAATTTAAATGAAATAAACAAATTTCTTAAAATACAAATTACCTAAAGACACAGAAGTAAACAGAACATCTATATAGCCCTACATCTATTAAAGATACTGAATTCACAATTCAAAACCTTTCCACAAAGAAAACTCCACATTGTTTGGTGAATTCTATCAAACTTGAAAGAAAATATAAATATATATTAGTTCCCTAGGGCTACCATAACATACCACAATCAAGTGGCTTAAACAACAGAAATTTACTTTCCCACAGTGCTGATAGCTAGAAGTCCAAAACAAGGTGTCAGCGGGAAACCTGTAGGGGGAATCTCCCCTTGTCTACTCCCAGCTTCAGGTGGTTGCAGGCAGCCCCTGGTATGCCTTGGTTTGCAGCTGCAACCCTACAGCCCCCACCTCTGTCTTCACGTGACATTTTCTCATGTGTGTGTCTCTTTTCTTAGAGTGGATTAGTGTTCATCCTAATTGAGTATGACCTCATCTTAACATTACATCTGCAATGACCCTATTTCCAAATAAGGTCATGTTCTGAGGTACTGGGGGTTAGGGCTTCAATTTTTTTTTCTTTGGCGGACAGGCGGAACACAATTCAACCGATTACACACCCAACCCTATATAAACTTTCAGAACACAGAGGAAGGAATATATCTCAATCACTTTGACAGCAGCATTACTCTAAATACCAAAACCAGGTGTTCAGCCTTTTGGAACCTGATATCTTTTTCATTAACAGTGATCATAAAGGTGGAGCAGAGCCCAGCCTTGAAGTCTATGCTCTGGGAGGGGAGAGGGGCAGGGGAAAGACGGAGAAGTATGTTTAGTTTCAAAATCTCCATAGAGTCTTGGAGGCTACTGAAATTTCCCTTATACCTACCGGGACATTCTATTCTGCTTAAAAATGGAAAAAATGATTTCAAATTAATAAATGTTAAAGGATGGTGCCTGCTCACATCTAGTTATTTGCCTATCTTTAAAACCTTACTCTATATGCAATTTTTTTTCTGAGAATTAACAAGAGCTATATGAAATCTTAATACTGACAATTGTTAGTAAATGTAATGCTTAATTTTTAAAATCAAGTCCATTTTCCATAGAGAAGGTAGTTCCCTGCACAAATGAAACAGAGCCCAAAGAAATGAAACTGGTTGGAAGGGTGCTCCCATCCCTTCCCCTGAGATGAAATGATCCATTCAAAGCAGATTTTGGAAGAAGAAAGGATGGGAATTTGTGACAAGTACATACTGACACTTCGTACACAGGGAATAACACCATCCACCAACATTATAACACTATAACACCCCTGACTAAAAGGGACTTTGACAGTAATGGTGGTGGTATTTGAGATCTGGAGTTGAACATAAGTATTACAGCAGCAACGTATATAAGCTTTTAAAAATTACTCCTTTCTCACTGTTTTGTTCACATTATTATTGCCCATCATTTACCTAAAGTTTTCATATTACAACCAGAACACTAAAAGACGCCATAAAAAAGAACAGTCACGCCAAAGGGAACAATGCAGTTTCATTTCCTTAAAAACTAACAAAAGTGATTAATTACATGTTGGCGAACTGACCCTTAAAAAAATAATCAAGACAAATGGCACAAGAATGATTTGTGGAAAACTTGCTCTCTAAAGTCTTCTGATAACTGAACGATTTAAAATTTAGACAGACTTATTCTATAATTTCCTTCTGTTTGACGTCGGCGGAAAGGGGCAACAAGAAGGTCATGCTGTTCTTTCCAGAGTTTTAAGAAAGACTGTGGCTATCTCCATTTAAAGAACATTTAGGGAAATAACAATGTTCTTCTATTCATCTTATTCCTCTTCCCAGAACATGTGCTATTTTATAGCTTCTATATATGTAAGATGTAAAATGGTTTTACCACTAAAACATATGTGAATGTGACTTGTCAAAAAGTATGTAAGTAAAATTCCTTTTTTCTTTTAGCGTAGCATTAACTAAAGATGGGGCTACTGAATTAAGACATTTCCAGTCATTACTTCAAGAACTTTGCAAGGTTCGCCTCAGTAAACTATAAACTGAAAGGAAAAGAATTCCATTCAATTTTAAATTATTTTATCTGACCACAGTAGAAGTACCATCAGGTGTTCCATGGGTAGGCCTTTCTGTTGATATTAGAAACCTAATATCCCCTTCTCACATAAAGATATGGCTGCAGATTACCAAAGTGCAATTAAATGAATCTGGGTTAAGTGTTTTATAAGGACTAAGGAGAAGAATTCCCCGGGTGCTTGCTAAAAAGTACAGTTCCCCAGTCCTATCTTAATAATTCTGAAGCCTGGATCACATTACTTAATTTATTTATTTGTTTGTATTTTTAACAGAGATAAGGTTTCACCATGTTGGCCAGGCCACTCTTAAACTCCTGGTTTCAAGTGATCCCACCCGCTGTGGCCTCCCAAAGTGCTGGAATTATAGGCATGAGCCACCACGACAGGCCTGGATCACATCATTTTAAACAAAAGTCCTTGGTGGGTCTTAAGATCAGGCAAATATAGAAAGTATTCTTAGAAATGTTAGCAGCAGTGATCAGACAGCAAAAACAGTCTTCATTTATTTTCATTGTAGTACAGCTGACATATAAGACACTGCATATAAAGTATTCAACTGGGTAAGTTCTGACATACATAAACACTCCTGAAACTACTGCCACAACTAAGATAAGGAACCTATCACTTCCAAAAGATTCTTTCTGCTTTGATCCTTTCCTTCCACCTCTCCCTACCACCAGCACTACCGTCCCCAAGTACGGATTACAACTGCTTTCTGTCACTATAGAGAGTGGCATTTTCTAGAATTTATATAAAGAGAATTATTCAAGCTGCATGCTATTTTCCTAGCTTCTTTTACTCAGAATGATTCTGGGATTCACCTATGATGTAGCATGTACCAACAGTTCATTTCTTTTTACTGAATAGTATAGTTTGTTATATGAATATTGCAGTTTGTTTACCCATTTACCTTTTGATGAGCATTTGAATTATGTTGAGATTTAGCTATTAAAAATAAAGCTGC